CCCGTCTCTCGATATAATAAAATACATTTATATAATAAATATATCTATATATATGCATGCAGAGGCGCTGAAGGACAGTGGCACCTGCTGGTCACCTAAGAAAGGACGGGTTGATCCTCTGCCCACAGCTGGCAGGTCAGCCCCAGCTTCTAGTCCAGCCTTGGCAGGGCAGCTTAACAACAGCTGAGAAAGGCTACAGAGGGGCCCAGGGAGAACTCGGACCACCACCACATTTTAGCCAGAAAGAAAAAGAAACAACCAGAAACCTGCTGACGTGGCTCTCGCCTGTCGTCTCGGGAGCTGGACGGGCCAGAGGCCGTGGGAAGCCCCTTCACTCTTCTTCCTTCGTGTCTCCCTCCCGCCAGTCTTCACCCCTCGGGCCATCGGGACTGCAGTGGCCAGGTACAACTTTGCTGCCCGGGACATGCGGGAGCTCTCCCTGCAGGAAGGGGACGTGGTGAAGATCTACAGCCGGATCGGCGGGGACCAAGGCTGGTGGAAGGGGGAGGCCAACGGCCGAGTAAGTAGCCTCCGGGGGGGGGAGGGGCCCCCTCTTGCCACTTCCCTTTCCGAATCGGGGAGGGGGCGTCCAGCCAGGGAGCAGCGATACAGGCAGATGAGCACAAGGCCAGTGCCGGCCCCTGCTCTCTCAAGCCCACTCGGTCACAAAAGCCCCCCCACCCACCCCCAGGCCTGGCCCGGTCCCTGCCCCGCCTGGGCTTCCCCTCCGTCCTTAGGCTCCCTCCTGCTTTCTTGCAGATTGGCTGGTTCCCTTCGACCTACGTGGAGGAGGAGGGGGTGCAGTGATGCCCAGACTGGCAGGAGCTACTGTCTCCAAGGGCAGCCCCGGCCGTCTCTGGGCCTCCGAGGGAAACTGGACTGTTCTTCCAGCACCGAGGAGAGAGCCCCTAAGGCCCACTCCCCAGCCCGTGGGCGTGAGTGCATGAGGGGCATGTGCAGCAGTGGGGCTGGGGGCACGTGAGCGCATGGGCAAGGCACGGCTGCTCCTCTCCTTCTGATTTCCTGGCACGGAAGAGCCAAACGGCCTTTGCAGAAAACCACGGAGCCTCTGGGGAAGGCAGGCTGGACCGATGGCCTGGCCAGAAGCAGCGGCACTACAAAAGCCTTCTGAGGTGTGGAGGATGGGCTTGGTGGTGTCTGATAATTGGGTGGGATACTAGAAGAGATGCTTCTCTAGGATTTGGGAGGATGCTGCAAGGAGTGCCCTTGGCTTAGGGTTTTTTTGGGGGGTGGGGGGGGAGTTTCTGCAAGTCCTGGTGTCCACTGCGGCCGTGGGCCAACTGAAGCGGCCCTCAATGTGAGTGGGCCCCTTGGTGGTTGAGGAGAGAATCCATCCGGTTACCAAGTGAGCATCCCCAGAATTGCTGGGATTCTTCCTGAGCCTGCCTTGAATTTGGGACTGCAATGCAAACATCTGGCTGGAGAGAAGGAAGCACGAGAGAGACGTGGGCTGCACCCCACGGCTGCCTCTCCCTCTGGCTTGTGGGTCTTTCCTCCATCAGTGCTGGGAACCTGTCTGAGCCGGCTGCCAGAACGGACCCTGAGGCCTCCAGGAGCTTCGGCCAGTCGCACAACCAGCTTGGTCGGGCATCGCTTGGCCTCCTCAGGGCCTGCTGGCTCCTGCTGCTGCCCTCTGTGTTCCTCAGGAAGCCTTTGCCTTATTGCTCATCCTGCTGGCAAAACAGTTCCCATCCAAGAGGCGGCCAAAGAGGATTAGGGTCCGGTAGAACAGGCGCCGTCCCCACGGCTGCCACAGATGCACACAGATCCCCTGCAGGGATCTCTCCAGCATTCGGCTCCCCACCCCCAAAACACCTGGGGAGCTGCTGCAAAGGCGGAATCTCTCCGCCTTTGGGACTTTGGGGAGATGAAGGCCATAAGTCGGCTTAACCTTCCCTTCCAAACATGCCTCCAGATTTGCCTCCATTTGAGGTTTGCCTGAAATCCGCCTCAGACTTTAAAATCCTCTCGGCTGCTTCTGTCCTTTCACCCATGGCAGGCAGCCTAGCAAAGCAAACATTCCCTGACATGGCTGCCCCTCCGGAAATGGGGCTGGCCCTGGGTCAGGGAGCAGAGGGATCTTTCAGGCGTTTCCCTTTTCATGTGGTAGAGAGGCAGAAAGACACACAGACAGAGAGAGAGAGAGAGACAGAGAGAGAGCTCAACGAAGTTGATCAGTAGCAGCTGGGTGGGATCCCTAGCTAGAACCCGTTGGGTCACCAAGCAAATCGCCCCGAGGGAGGAGGGAGCTCAGCTGCCCTTCCCGCTTAGATGGGGTGTGGGGTACGTAGGTAGGAGAAAGGAACGAGGAGTCAGTCGGTCTGGCTTGCAAACACCCCAGTGGCCACTAGATGGCCGAAGAGGGACTGTTTGTGTTCTCTTTGCTGCTCTCTAGGCCTTGCCCGGAGTTCTGCAGCTCTGAGCTGGGACCCAGAGATGCTTTGCAGAACCAGAGCAGAGGAATATGCTGCTTGCATCTCCTGGACCGCCCCCCAGTTCCTCCCGAAGCCAAGAGAGGGCTAGAAAGAGGCATGAAGGCACCAGAGAGGACCCACTGCAGCACACCCGGTGCTAGAAGGGAGGCACATGCAGCCTCTTCCTAACTGGCCCCTTTCCCCTCTTGGAGGCAGGCTCTCTCCTGGGCTGCAGATGGGGCAGAGGCCACCAGGAGAAGGCCAGGCTTGAAGCATCTGGAGTGGATGCAATGGGGGGAAGTGGGGGAGGATCAGAAGGAGGCGGTGACCCCCTCCGTGGAAAAGGGCAAGCGAAAGAAAGCCAGCCACCCAGTCTCCACCAGGCAGGTTTGCGTCTTCTGTGAACTAGGCGAGGGAAGGGCTGGGCCAGGACCGGGAGGCCGGAGCTGGAGCCCACTCCTGGCTGAGCGCGCCCCGGGAGACGAGGCCACCTGCGCAGGGTTGTTGTTGTGGAGAAGTGCTGTGGGGCTGCCTCTGTTGCAGACGCCACTTGTCTGAGCACGTGCAGAAGTTCAGCCCTTACAGAAGTCCATCTGTACGTTTGGAAAACGAGGTGGGGCAAGAGGAAGACTGAAAAGAGGCGTTTCTTCTCAAAATACACCTTGCCATACACCTTGACACAAGATGGTCCTTCTGAAGATAAATCAAAATACTTCTTGATTGAAAAAAAAAAGGAAGGCTGTTTTTTGTTTGCGGATGTAACATTTCTTTCCACCCCCCCAGGAGGTGCTTGGTTTGTAATGAATTACTCTCCCCAGCCACTCTCCTATTTGTGAATAAGAAAAAAGATTTTTTTATTAAAAGGGCAAAATATTGTACATATATTTTGATTTTGCAAAAATGTTTTTAAAAAGAAATATAATAATGGAAAATTAATATGGACAACATTCTCTGATGTATTGGTCTCTCTTTTTACTTTCTTTTTTGCACTCTCCTAAATTGAGGCCAGGAAGGAATGCATGAAAAACGGCTAATATATTTAGATTCTTAATTCTCAACACTTAGAGAAATCCCTTATTTCCTCTAGCAAACAATTTTGCTTCATTGAGAATTTCCCCTCCTTTTACATGGTTTCCTGGGCCATCTGACATCCGAGCACAACAGACATCTTACCTATTTTTGATTTTGTGCCATTAAGTCATTTTGACTCCTAGAGACCAGAGAGATAGATTTTGACCATGGTCCACAATCTTTCTTTCAAGTTTCCCCAGGTGACCTGCTGCCAGTGAAGTCTCTCCATCTATTGGTCCACCTCCAAATACTTGTGTTCTGCTGCAGTTGGAGGCAGCTTTGCAATGAACCAGCTGCAAAGATAAAACATTAAATGTTGATTAAAAATGGTATGTTTTAAATGAATACGTGTATGTCTATGGAGATTCTCAGCCATCCAGGTCCTGGTTGTCCCAAAGATGCTTTTTCAAGAGGCAACTGGATTTTATGTTTTTGTCTTTGAAGAGGTTTCTCTTCTCATCTAAGAAGCTTCTTCAATTATGGCAGGAGTCCTAGTCAGAGCTGAAGAAGCTTCTTGGATGAGAAGTGAAACGTCTTCAAAGACAAAACAGAAAGTCCATTTGCCTCTTGAAAAAGCCCCTTTGAATACTTGGATGTTTCTCTGGACAAATCCGGCTTTCATTTCCATGTAACCAAGTGAGCAGAAGTACACACTCACACCTTCTCCCCTATCTTTTGCAAGACCACATACTTTTTGGAAGTATCTTTTTTTTTCTTACATTATCTTCACCAATTTCCCATCTTTATAAGCCTTAAAGTGCAAAGATTCATTGACTTTTCGCTGCAGTTCGGAGCTAAGCTAATAATGGCTTTCTTCGTTTTGCTATTCTAGCGTAACCAACTTGGTCTGCAGTACTTTAATTTCCGACCTGCAACGCAACTCTCTTTAAGATTGGCTGCAGCAATGCAGACACGCTGGCCTGACCAATTCCTCTCATTTCTTCAGCAATACACTGAAGACAACCTTATTACCAACTCAGCTTTTATTTTACTCTACGCCTTGCTTCCATTGCTCTTTATATTCCTTTTGGCAGCAGCCTTTTTAGCCCATATCCATGCAAACGTCTGATGACTTGGCTTTTTTTCTTCCTCCAAATCAGCACAGAGACTGTCTTGCAGCAGACATTCCTCACTCAGCTGCCGAAGAGCCAGATCTGATCTCTGCGCCTGGCCAGCATTTACCCTGCAGCGTCACCGTTTCTCTGTCTTCTGCAATCCAATCCCTGGGCCGGCCACAACCATCCCCAGGCAAAGTTCTCTTACTTCACTTTCATCCCAAATCGATAATTCTGTTCCCTCCACTGGAGTTCTATTTATCCTTTTCCACTCGCTTAGAAAATCATTTTTGGAAAATTTTCCATCTAATTTCTCAGTATTTTCTTCCCTTCTTTTAGTTTCAATTGTTCCTTCTGGCCTCCAGCATTCTGCAGAAGTATCTTTTTCTCTGTATGCCTTCTGTAGTCTCTCATCCCCAATTTTTACTGAATAGAACTATTTACTTATTTGCCCCACTGTTACTATTCTGGGTGGCTTAGCAAAATGCAACAATTAAAAAGCAGAATTAAAAGAATAATTATGACAGGATCAGAAGAAAAAAAATGCAACAAACTTATATAAGGTCAAATCACCCAAATAGGTGCCACTGCACTTTGGCTGGTGGATACAGCCAGGTTTTAAGGCTTATTTAAATAGGGCCAGCTTGGAGCACAGCTATCTTGGAGAACGTTGGTCCAGAGGGCAGGTGCTGTGACAGATGACACACTTTGATTGGTTGGGCCCAGAATACGCTGGTGATGCTGTCAAATTGGATGCAGCAGATGGAAGCTGTGAGCTGGATGGTCCTTCCGGCCCATGCAGTGAAAGGGCTGGACCATGTTGTGAATTGTGCCCACAAGCTAAAAGGGCTACCAGTCCAGCTCAATGCATGGCGACCTCTGGGCATCCCATAACTGTCCAGTCTGCTGCATTCTGGACTAGCTGCAATGCTCAGATTGCCTTCAAGGGAAGCCCCGTGAAGGGCATATTGTGACAGTCCAAATGCCAAGGTGACCAAAACGTGTGACCATCTAAAAGGCTTTCTAACCTAGGTGTAGGTGCAACTGGGTGCAGGCATTCCTGATCATTTGCCACCTGCTGCTTGTGCAGGAGCTGTCCCCCTCCCACCTGTCAAAATCTGAAGAGATTCCTTATAGTCCTAATCCGGATCAAAGATGGGACCACTCTGGATTCAGAAGTGTGCAAACATCCACATCTATTCAGTCTTGTCCCTGTTGAGTTCAAGCCTGCTCAGACCACTCAGTCATGGGGATGAAGCCAAAAACGGCGTTGGTTGCCTGGGCAAGAAGGGGGTGTATAATTTGGATTTGCTAAGACGGATCTGTTTGGGTCCCTTCTGGCCAGGAACGCCGCCAAAGCGCCAGCTTCTTCGTGTAATTCTACGGAGGAAGCGTAGAGCCCAAAGCCAGGGATGGAACCACGGTGGTGGGGAAGATGGAGCTGCTTCCCTTCCAGCTGCATCCTTTGGCAGGACACCTACGTTGAGGGCCATGCAGGATGCAGGTCATGCACCCAGAACATCCCATCGGGTGGATAACCTTGTTTCCTTTCTAACTCCATGACTTTCCTTTGGAATGATACGTAGTATACAGTTCTCTCTCTCTCTCTCTCTCTCTCTCTCTCTCTCTCTCTCTCTCTCTCACACACACACACACACACACACACACACACACACACACACAGAGGGAGGGGGGAGTAAGAGACTTATCCTGGCTCCTGCTCTCTCTCTCTCTCTCACACACACACACAAACACACACACATACGGGGGCGGGGGAGTGAGAGAGAGACTTATCCTGGCTCCTGATGAATCTCCCAATGAGAGCAGCTTAAAATAATTGAAGAGCATCCATTATTGCTTTGTCCCCACATCCTCCCTGAGAGGCTTGGAATAAGCAACCCTTTTGCCCACCCAAATGTCCTCAATGTAATAACACTAAAACAGTCCAGCCTAAACTTTTTCGTAACTTCTTAGCTAAAAAAAGCCCCAGTAAACCAGAATCCCAGAAGAATAACCCTAGCTGACAAGAGCTAAATAGCTTGAAATAGATCTCTACTAGTAGTCTCCCTTTATTTCTTTGTCAGTAAATATAAATGTAATGTCAAAAATAATGTTTAAAAGTTCAAAAGGGGTGGAGGGAATGAATCCAGGAAAT